AATTCCCCCTACCCCTCCTAGAAAAAATAACAACTAAACATGTACCAATATGCTAAATCTCTTATAGAGGTGGTTCTATCGACCTAAATATGGTTCCTATCGATTCACCGTGTAAACAAACCTTAAAAACGACTTCCTAAATGACTTCAAATCGTGAATAATGAATTATATCAAAATTCCCCCTCCCCACCCCCTAAAAACCATGTTCCCCCATCGGGACTGTTAGGGACTCATTGGATCTTGACTTCTATTGGTGAAACGAAGTTAAAACCAAAGTTTCATCCCTGAACTAATTTTTTCATTTTTATTTAGTATTTTTCCTGTACTAATCAGGACAGTAACATACGCAATCAACGCTCCGGAGTTTTATTTCTGTTTATTGACCAATCATCAGGGTTGCTTAGTATTTAAGCCGAGTTAAATACCGCCCAGTGTGTTTTCACAATTCATACCCGTAAAATCACGATTGAAAACCCCCAATTTTTTTTCTGAATACTGTTTGATTGTCTAATATAACATAATGAACTGAAGGGTAGAACAAATTTAGTTGTACAGATAGGCGTATTCTTGCCGTGAGGCTTGTGCGCCGACTCAAGCCTATGTATGCAGCCCAGGTACTTAAGGTTACCCGGTTATTGTTAAACAAATTGCCTGATTGTCAGCAAGGCATCTCTTTCAATCCACAAGGCCACCTTGAGCCTATTAGGTTAACACTAATTAGTCCAATATTCTGTTGAACATACAAAAGGAATGAACAGTTGACATATTCATAGATAAACGTTTAACATTCCTTCATTTGCATTGTTGATGTTTATAAATCAGCATAGTAATACGAATACTCATTATATGAATAGTCTTTTAATCTAGGGTTTTCCTAAATTTCAAGTAACCTTACTGGTAGCCCGGTAGACGGACCGAAGATCCCAGGGTTAAAATTGACCTGAGAATTGTTTACCTGTTTTGGCGAGGCTTGACCGAAGATCCCAGCACCATGAGGGGTCGAGCGGGGACCTTCAGTCAAGCCTTGCTCTTGGGATCTTCATCGAGTTTGATGAGGGTTGACAAGGGGCACCGATAACACCTCACACCATGGGTCACTTACATTTTGCAGTAATTTAAAATAAAATATTAAGGAATAGTTGGGGGCCATGGGAAGGCCAGCAGTCAGTTTATTTATATGACTTGAAGTAATATGCCAACAAACAAAAATATGTTACTTTGACAGATCCCTCATTGATTATGAACAGATTATGCAATTATTTGTTTTATAGGTCTTAGCTTAGTATTATTAGTAGTTGGGAATATGAAGGAAATCCTCGTTGCCTTTTTCACGGTAATTGTGCAACCAACCAATCACGCAAATATTGATCATAAAAGAGTAGAGGATTATTTCCTTATGTGGGTAGTTCCATAGATGAAACATATTCCCTTAGTAGATTTCTCAACCTTATGGAACAGCTGAAGCCAATTTTATACTTCTGTTCGGTGCGAATGTGTGTTATTTGCCAATTTGTCATCACTGTATACCTGGCTGGGTGAGTCATCAGCCCCAACCCTAGTCCGTCGGTCATCACCCCTCGAGGCCTGAGCCTTCTTAAAACTCCGAGTATTTCATAAATGCAGTCACCAAAGTAGAGTTAAGACCCCAGAATGTTTTGTTTGAATCAGTAATGAATTAAAAATAAGATTGTCTTTAAAAACTGCTTTAATGACATCTTAAATAAATATTACGTGAATACAGGGTGAACAACTTAACCACCATTGCTATCTAAGACATATTAGATTTAGGGAAAACATCAAAGGGAACTTCAACTATTTTCTTGTGACATACAAAAGTATGAATTCCACTTTTAAAAAATCGCCAGTATTTTCCAATATGGAGGTTAACTTTAAAATTACTTATTAGACAACTTGTAACCTATTTTATGATGATTTTAGAATGTAAATGCAATTTAAAACGTTTTAGAAGCTGCATTTTTCCATAAAGCTACTTGTTTAGGAGTTACAGCGTGTTACATTTGGAAAAGAGTGGCTTTTTGTGAACATTCTGCATGATGTACAGCTTATATAAGAATAAGATGATAAAATACAGGGAGATTCATAAGAAATTTGAAGTATAGTTGCCATTTTTTGTGGCTATTTTGTAAAAACCTTAAGGAATAATTTTAATATATTTTATGATCTTTTTAGAATGTAAATGCAATTTTCAATTTTAAGACTAATTTATCGCATTTCTTCTCAAAGCTTACTCGTTCAGGAAAGCCACTATGTTCTAGCCATAATGTTCTACCTCTTCACCTAAACAATAAAAAAAATAAAATATTACAATTTTAAAAAATCACAAATTATTCATGACATTAAAAACATAATCATAACTGTAAACAATCCTACTTTGACAGTTCTCATTGCGTATCACAGTTGTTTGTTGCTGCTTAGTTCAAATTAGCTGTTTAAATAAATGCAAAAAAAAATATAGTGCTGCACCCTGTTGGTAAATCTTATAACTTTTTAATGCTTTTGTATATCATAGAACCAACTTTTTTAGTTGAAACAGCTGACTAAATTCTTTAATTCCCTTTAAATATGAATACTCATAAGATTAACATGGGGAACTACAGAGCCACTGGGGCGGAGCCCGAAGGGATTTTTGAGATAAGAATATGCCTATATGTTAATCGGGAATGTGAGCTATCATCATGCCAAATTTCAGCCCAATCCATCCCCTGATTTATGCGTGATTGAACTTCAAACACACAAACAAACGAACAAACAAACACACAAACTTTCACATTTATAATATAAGTAAGATAAGATTTTACCTATATATTTTCTTATATTAAAAAATATATCATACTAATATCCTAAATGTGACATTTTGGTTGTATGTATGGATGAATGTTTCGTCATCCAAACACGACCGAACCTATTAAGGTATACAATATTTCACTATAGCCTCACGCGTAAAATGTTCTCTTGCCCCAAAATAAAGCTTTTGAGACGACTAGTGAACGATAAGTTTTATCACGATGTAAATAACCACCCTAAACTTTAAACAAAATTATCTGATCTTTCACAGTCTAGTAAATTTCAATAAGTAAACACAACACGGTTTTACAAATAAAGTAGGAAGTTTGAACAAAGAATTTTAAAAGCAAATAAAGACAAATAACTACAAATAAATAGGGCTCCTGTTGAACAAAACGGGAACTTCCATTGTTTATGGCAGGACAATGTAAATCCAGTTTGCACATCTGCAAACCTAGACGCGCGTTTCAGTGTATAATAGTGGTGGTAAAGAGAAAGCCTTACTTTTTTTAGTTGTCACTTAACGTATTAATAATATAGCTAGATTTGTCGATATAGGCTTAACGATTCACTAAGGATTTTATTAAAAATCTAAATACACATTCCAGGATATAATGTTATTATATTAGCCCCAGTTACTATTTCTATGACATAATTTTAAACTCTTAAGATGGATGTGAACAGAAAATGTATTTGCATAATAACTGTATAACATGTAATTAATATTAAATATTACGTTTACTGAATACGCGATTGTTACGTTATAAATAGTTTACAATTATAACGAAAACCCAAAGACTGATTTTCATGGGAAAAATACATGCTGGGAAGAAAATTATATGTAATTTCAACTAAATATATTGAAAAACGAATTGTGTTAAATTTTTTCAGTTTTAATTTTGTGCGGTTATGCTTTTGCAGTTGTATAAAGTTATACGCTATATAAATTTAATCATAGTCTGGGTGCTAAAAATTGACACATAGCCTGTTATTTTGTTGTCTGTTTAAAACAAACTTGTTAGTTTAGTTTAATAATTATGGTTTAAGACTAGCAGGAAAAAAAAGTTTTAGTCTAAGATTTGCAATACAAATCATATATCACGGATGTGAGCTTGGAACTAATTATGAAGGAGGATATAGACAGATAGTCATAGCTAGTCCCAGCGGTTCTCCACCCCTGGCAGGTAGAGGCGGAGGCCCGAGTCCCGAGTGCTGTATACCTGTTTTTCGAGGCTTGACTGAAGATCCCAGGACTAATGAGGGCTAGGGAGGGGATCCTGAGTCAAGCCTGGACAAAATATTTTACGACCGACCCTTGATTAGGCTACCCTGGGATCTTCAGTCCTACAATCTGGTAGCCCACATTTGAGATGGACATAACTACTGTATGAATGGGTGTTGGGCTTAAATTTCTTCCTCTGCTGTACTATTAGATACTAAATCATTATTTGTTTGGACTCAAATTCAATATGCTAAGTTTGGCAACAAATTGACGTGAGTTTGTCACGCCGACGGCGTCTACGAGGCGGCACAAGGGCGTGAGAATGGCGGGAAATGCGGCAATCTTGGCGGCAATCTGGGTCCTGACAAGCACCGTGACGCTGACCACCGTCACGCAGCAACTAGTCGATTGTAGTGGCTTTTTGGCACAGAAGAATCAGCTGTTTATTCATTGTTGCATCACGGCGATTAAAGTAGTTTATGTGGCTTGGCAAATTCAAATCAGCTGTTGCTTCAGTCTTGGAAGATTTCAGCTGAATCTGTTGTTTATTTCTCTTTTGGTGAAATTGGTCGGTTTCAGTAACTTGGATAAAGCGTTAAAACTAATAGCATTACAGTTTGGTCCAAAGGTCGCTGCAGTGAAAATGATTTATAATGTTATTTTTGTTATCTTAATTAAGAATTCCATTTTTAAATGGATACGAGTAGCAAATTATTAAAAAACTTTTTAGACAAGCTTAGAAAGTATGAGTCAGATTGCTGATACCATTCATTATTTATATTATTCATCCTAGGGAAGAAGTGACGGTGCTTAAAAAATATTTTACTATACTATATTCTGTATAACCTAATCAAAATAATATAAATTATTTTGGAGACACCTTTAACTACCTTTAACTATTGACTAATGATTCTATGAAAGCACGATTTTCAGTCTGCAGTATTGTTAGCTGTAATATATTTCTTTGTTCTAGATAATACTCAGCCTAATCGTGGCGTCTGCGTCGGCCTCAGTGGTACCTTGGACGGGCTGGGAAGACTACGGGGTAACTTTATTTGTTATAGCAACTTTAAAATTTATTGGATTTAGGCTACTCATTAATAAAATAATGTCTCGTTCACATTTAATCCAAAGGATTTAATAATTAAAGTTTTACATATTATTATTATAAATTTACTTTTTCTGACAAGATTATATTTTAAAGTTCATGTGAGGGGTTAAAAAACTTTGGTGATTTATAATTGAGGATTCTAAGTGTGGATGCTTACCAATAACCTAAGAACTAGAAAGCACCTGGCTCTCTGACAAATTCATTCATTCATTTTAATTTTACACAAAGTGGCACAATATCAGTAAATTAATTGAGATGGGGACGCAACCTAAGTGTACTTTAACCCAAATGCGAGTGAATGATAAATTGTAGAATGGAGTGAGATGATTTTTGTAGCTTTGTACTAGCTAAGATCAGCATTTTCATTAGACATGATCATCTATTTAAAGACCGATGATCAGGGAGAGCCGGGGCTAGTTTCGAACTATTAAAAAAATCTACTGACTTTTACTCAGGATGGAACCGGTGACCTTTTGATTGTTAAGTCAGCACTATCTGTTACCATTCAGCTATCAAGCTAGTTATTTAAGTTATTTAGAATCTAACGTCAAACACTAGTAAATTCTATCCTAAGGGGATTGTGTGGAGCTCAGCCCCACAACTTGTTACCGGTTTACTGTGTCCTCTGATTAAATTCGAGTGTTCAGTTTCTAACACGAATGGTTATGACGTATTTGCCAGTCAATTCACACATAATCACTAACAGGTAGCTTAACCGCCACAATGGAAGGAAAACGTTATATCTTATAATCACATTTTCTATGTATTTTACTTCTTTCCTCATTGTAACAATGTAACCATTTTCCTTTTCAAACCAATTTGATTTATTTCTGAATGGGCTTAAAGCCCAATAATTTTACGCTTTATAACTTCAGTTAAAAATTTATTAGATTTTTTACATAACGAATCTGGCTTAGGTAACTTTCATGATGGTGATGGTTTTGGCTAAGGGAACATCAAGTCTCAGTCACAAGGCTTTATTATACATTATACGTTACAACTTAATAATCACCGAATCGTATTAATGAAGAGGGTAAACGATTCTAAAAATAGATATCTGATTCCAGCACCATCACCACCACCACCACCCTGTAGCCACGTCGTACGCCAGTGTGTGGAAGGTGGACCACAGTGTGCCTGTGTGGGTGAAACCTGCGTGGCCTGCGTGGAACCCTTGGTGGGACCCTCACCACGACCACCACCACCACGATCACCACGACCATCACCACGGTTGGCACTGACCTACCACGACCACCAGCCATCCGACCAAAGACATCCGCCACTCTGCCCACTCAACTTGCTTATTTATTATATATTATTCGTTCTTAATTGATTTGTTTATTCTACACACCTCCACTTTAACAGTTGTTGAGTAAAATATTTTATTAGTTTTTATTTTTATCAAAGATATATTCCAGCCTAAGGTTTGAAATCATATTAAACCTAATTCAGGATCCCCAATGGGTATGGTTTTTGGAAAAGGTAAACCTTTCTTATTGCATGCAGAAAATGCAGGGAAAGTTAACTAAGCACGAAGGAGATAACGTATTAAGTTTTCTCTGTCATAACCCAAGGCCAGAACATTCCAAAATATAGCACTTTCAAATTCTTGAAATATCTACAATCGACTTAACTATTCATCCCAACATTAAACAACCCAAGGATGTTACAGTATAACAAAATGATGTGAATCAACGATGACGATTTACAGTCACCTTAAGTAAAACAATTAATTATTAACAAGAGTTCTATATTGAGCTTAAAAGTATTTTGTCTTCTATGCAGTATATAAAACGATAAGGAAGGATCGGCAAAAGAAAACCTTTGTTGTTTGCAAAATACCTGAATGAAAATAATCTTTATATGGGATGCTGAAAAAACTAGGAGAGCTAGCTACTGTTTATTAACAAAATACCTATTTTGAGCTGAAAGTGTATTTTGTGTTGTATGTAGTACATTAAACGATAAGGAATGATCGGCAAAACAAAACCTTTGTTATTACCTGTATGAAAATAATCTTTACAGGGGATGTTGAGGAAACAGGGAGAGCTAGATACTTTATCACCACGCCTAGCCAATTGTAACAAATAATGTTATGCAATACCAAGCGTGATTCTGTAGTACATTCATGGTAAATAGTGTCAAGTGAAGAACCTGAGAGCAAGCACAGTGTTCAAATTATTATTCATTGTTTTAGTGCTAAAAAACAATATTCTATCACTATAACCCTTATGTTGATACATGGTACCCTGAAATAAATTGAATCTGATGTGAACCATCCTTCGATGATGAGATTGTACAATCAAACATGTAATGCTTTGATATAATGATTTGTTATTTCACCTTTTCCTACGGAATCTCACACGTCCACGCATCAGTTCACACCTGTGAGAATCTGAGGAGCTCAAAAGATTACACAGAATGTAAAGTAAGCGTGAGGGGAAAAGCTGATTTGTAAATGGCCATAACTATTTTGTCAAAAGTATCTATTATCATACCATAATGTTCCCTGGAGATCTTACCATTATTATTAATTCGTTTTTTACATTACAATAATACTTTTGGGACTAGCTAAAGTGGTTAGTTCGTACAAGTCTTTGTTTTAAAATGGAGTTTCAATAGAAGTTTTGGAAATATTTGATATAAACGGTTAATCAAATGATGTGTGCATTGCTACCTAATGAGCTGTAAATAGCACTACAGTTAGTACTGGCACTGCAACTCTGCTAGAAAATAGAGACGTTGTAAAAATGTGTGATGCCGGTACTAACTAGGGGGAAAATATCAATTAACTAAGGGTTTTATGTATGTCAGACAAGCCCAAAATCCTCATTACCCTAGTTAAATGGTACTAAGTACAATGTAGTTCATTCCATAGTGCAAAATGGTGGCCGATGTCTAACAATTATTCTTCATCAGTGCTACCTACAGTTGTGTCTCTAGCTCAAAGTTGCTACCTAATCTTTTCAACCGCAGACAAATCCAGCTCTTTTAAGCCATCAAATGTCAATGTTAGAACTCAGTAATATGTTTGACCATTTTCTGAATGAGAGGTGCGGAAACATGAACATAGCCTACATAAATTAAATCTACTACACACTAGAATTTCAGCTTATTAACCAAGGTCGTGTGGCTTTTTTATAATTTTCGTTCAAACTTTGATCTTTGTATGATAAATGTGTTGATGGCTGCGTCAATTGAAACAAAAATACAAAAACTAATAATGACTAATGGAATCAACCATTAATTATTGTTTTACCATATTATTCAAACACATATAAGACTGTTTTAAATAGAGTTGCCAATAAACTAATTTAGTTAAACATGGTTAAACTATATTATATATGTTATATATTTTTAAATGTGACGGTTCGGATCTTTGACATTGTTTCTTAAACTTGTTTAGAAATGGCTGCTCCCAACAAATTTAGAAGTAAAGAACACAAGCAATATACCATAATTTTCTGGTTTAAAGATTAACTAGAGGCAGTTATTCGAAACTTAAAATACATCTATACTACGTGATCTCCAACTGACACTAAAATAACCTGAGTCTACCTAAGTTTTTAAGTCCAGAATATGAAGTATTTAAAACTACAATTATGTTTACATAAAAATCAAGCTATTTTCATTATACGTAGCTATAAAATATGTTTCCTGAAGTTGCACCAAGCATTATTAAAGCAAGGAAATCAATTATCAAAATACATATTTACGAACGATATTACTGATAGAATACTTAACATTGCTTTTAATCGATTAATATCTTTGTGTTTTGAGTCCATCTACTACAGGAAATTTAACATTAAAGGAAATTTATTCAGCTCTATGAAATAGTCATTTCTTAAGAACTCCATTAACACGCTAATGTAAAAGACATTGTGAACCCGTGCGGAATGGAGTGTGGAATTTCCAATAAAACGTTTTACATTATTCTCATTAAATTATGTTGTCTGTCTCTTTTACAAGTTTACTTGTGGTGTACATTACGATTATGTTGACAAGTGATGTTCTTATTGTTTTTTTGTTTTTTTTTTGTGGGGATACCAAATAAGGATGCAGTTCCCTTTATCTAACAGACTTTTAACAACATTATTTTTTTATACAACATTGTTAGACCTGCATATTACCATGTTCTCCCAACTATCAAATCACGGGTATATAACATAGGAAATTGGCGTTTGGTTGGATTTGGACTAGGACCTCTAGAATTAATTGAAACCCCACCATCCAACCTTTATAGACGAGCCGTGCCGTCTTCGCCTACCTACATCATTGCATTTGATTGTGCATAGCTGTATGTGACTGAATGGATATTAAAATCGTTTGTATCTGTAATCGATCTTGTGATACTTACTTGTAATACTCTAAGTATTTATCCTTGACCGAAACTGTCGGATAGATTGCTTCAATACTCTTACGAGTTGTCAATTGAACATATATTTACGTCAATACTCTTACAAGTTGTCAATCAAACATGATTTACACCATTAACAAATATTCACAATATTTACATTTTAATGTGACATCGTGAATTTATTTTGGACTAAGTTGTAAAATCGGTTCCTAAGTTCCACTTATGAATAAAGTGGCCTATTTACAAGGGCTTCAACCTTTTAAATGTTGAGTAGTTCCATTGCTCACACTCGCCCTTGCAGGGTATTTAAAACCTTATTACAGAGCCGGAATAGCATTCGCAGGTACGACTATAGCCTTCGCTAGTACACAGAGTGTGTATTAAAGGTGGCTAAGGTACGACCCAAGCGACAGCGTGGCATATCAAGGTTTTGTACTCTTCTGGTGTTGTAGCTGTGCTGGTTTTCCCCTTTGAAATATTCACCTTTATGTTCCTTAAGGAGGATGTGTATGTCATAGATGTATCGACTGAAGATGGTAAGTCCAGGCCGGCAGTGCTTAATGTATTCACAAACAGAAGATGTGCAAATTTTGAAACCCTAATTTGGAGTAGCTGTACAGATCTCTCCAACAAAAGAGTTGATTTTTATAAACGCAACTTGAAGTTTTATATACTTATGAATTTATCAACATTTCCATTGACTATTCAATCGAACAAACTTAAATAGTAATTTGTTCTTTTAAATATTTGTACTAAGTTCTTATGTCCACGAAACACTCGTAAACGTTGTTACATGTAACCACAATCTATTATTTGACTGGCTCAAGGACCAAAAATAAAAGATCAGTAACGAACTCAAATTTTAGTTAATTTAGTTATGCTGTACAGCAAAAATTATTTTCTACGTTATTGGATTTTTTTTCTTTTTAAGAATAATATAATAAAAGCTTTTGCGAATGTTGATCCCTAATCAGATAATTCCTTGGTTTCTCAAATCTTTTATTACCTATACAAACAATACTACTAATATACCAAATCAGGGACTACGTAATACCAATTTTAGCTACGTAATATTTATTATTGTACTGTGTAGATATATTATAAATTGAGTTTAGTTATTAAACTAGTTGGTGCATCCTCGTAGATCTATTTATGGCCAAACATGTTATTTAATCCAGCTATTAAACTTCATTGTTATTATAATGGCAGGTTATTTTCATTGTATAATTCTTCATTGCATATATAACTCTATATAGCCACACAAAATTCATCAGCATGTAAAAAATTTATCTTGTCACATGTATCACAATGTTAAATGTATTGTAAAAATTGTGTTTGCCAAGAAAGATAGGAAGAGGATATTTTTTGTTGGTGTCTATAATGTCAACTGATTAAGTTTTTTTTTTATTTTCCTCAGAATCTTATCATGCAACCGATTTTTTTTATTTTTTTATTATATTCTGTTCTGTTAAGCTAAATAAATCCTCTGTTTGGAGTAAAACTTGGGTGATACCTAAGCTCAATTGTTATCTTTCTATCCTTTTCTATTCCTTTATGATAATTTCTAATCCATTTTTAACCAGCCACTTCAGATTACAAAACCGATTTCACAACCGGACCAAATTGTAGAACTCTACCGAAATTCCTAGAACGTGTAATTTGCCACACGCCCCGATCGCATGTGTGTGTGTGCGTACATGTACGTACGTGTACGTGTGTGTACGTAGTGTCGAACCTATCACTCCCACGAACGTCGTGAGAGGAGGCACGAGCTACGTTGCGTTACCATGGGAAATGGGATCTTAAGCAACCGTACAATAGATTCATGGGGAGATACCACAGCTATATAGGGCTACTGGCACAGTGTCTGCCATTCCACCCACCACTGTCATCATGATCAAGCTGGTGAGTACTGCCAAATAGATCAGCTGGTTTTGCTAAATATTAAAAGTTTTCATTTTGATTAATTTTT